AGCGGTTCTGGCTTTCAACCCAGAGCAACCGAGAGTCAGAGGGAAACGTCAACGTGTCTCAGGTTTTGATGAACTGTAAAGGTGCTTTCTGGAAGAATTTCCCACAGAGGTGAAACCATATGAGAGAACAACCCACGTTTAAAGACCCTGTGGTGACGCTCAGGGATTCTGCCCTTCGTTTGTATTTTTTTTATTTAACGAGTTGTTACCAGTTGAACACAGACACTTACGATGATGATGACGATGAAACCTCTGCCACTGACTATCGTTGTAAGTTCAGTTTGTGTTATTTTTTTGTGTTATGCAACAAAATTGTAGCGTAAGATGAGACAAGAACGTAGCTGGTATATATTTCAAATTGCAGTTCACGTTTATAAATATATGAACTCCATATAAGTATTTGTAGGTAAGCATATATGTTAATAATTGATCATTTTTGTGTATCTTATACATGCAACTCTGGTCTCATTCAGTCCGTGTTTTTTTTTTTTTTAATTTGTTGTTGTTATTTTTGTGTGTTTTTTATAAGTGTCCAGCTCTACTGACCCTGGGTGCTCAGTGCTTAATTTACGCAGTAAAGTATTGTCACCTCAACTAGCTACTGTCACAAGATGTACTGTATACCCCACAGCATTGTTTCCCAAAGACTGGGTCGTGACCCTCAGATGGGTCACAAGAGACTCGCCTCATGTTTCCCAGGAGTTTACGAATAATGTCTATTGACTTGGGTCACGAAAGTTTGTGACTTTTAAAATATGAGTCCCCAGAAAAAGAAGTTTGGGAAACACTGCCCTACAGTACATATGCAGTACATATACTACATACAGATTAGACTACACCAGAGCGTGGGACACGACAGTCTGGGGCAGGATTTGAACCTGCACCTCTGATGGCAAAACCCATTAACCACTAGGCCACAGGCTGCCTTTTTAATTAAACACTCATGTTGTCCCTTACTTTCACCAACACATTATCAAAGGTTTTTAAACTGTGTCAAACCCTCCTTTGAGGGCTAATAGAAGAGGAGCTAAATGCTAAACATTTACCAACTCTCACCCAAAACACTGTTAGGATTAAGAGCATGTAATATTAGGATTAGCAGCCAGTATCAGTAACTGCAAATGTACGTAAATCCTCAGTGCTACCTGAAGCACCAAAAGGCACTTTGTAGAGACAAGTTTAATTCTTAGCCATAAAGTGAAATAAGTGAAGTATTAAGTCAGAATGTGAACTCTCACAGTAAATTAAATTATGGGTAGAAATGGGAACAGCTGTTAAGGCGAAACATTTCCCCTTGTTTTCACAAAGGACAAAATACTCTGCAAAACAGATTACTGCGTTTTGTTATGATGTCTAGACCTGAACATCAGTGTGTCATCAGCGTATGGTGCAGTGGAGACACAACCTTCTCTCAAACTCTCTGCCATTGCTGCCATATTTTGATGAAAAACAAAAAAAAAACATGCCAAAAAGCCTGCGTACTGTAGCGGCTGACGTGCTCAGCCTTTTTGTACCTACAGTGTGTGGGATGGATTTTTTTTGAGTGTCATGAGGCCAAATGGTTGAAGATGAATTGTTGTTACTGATTATTTCAAAGCGGTTGTTTTTGTCTTTTTGAGAAAGAACATTGAGGTGGACGGGTGGACTTTATCAAACACTCTGGAGGACTCGTCTTCTTGCGGCTCTGCATGGTTTGTTAACTCAGCCCTGTCTGTCTGTCTGTCTGCCTGTCTGTCTGCACACCTGTGAGTCAGCACAGTTTACTCTTAGCAGCACAGAGTAAAAAAAAAAACCTGTCTTTTATCCCAAAAGTGAAAGATTTTCTCGGAGGCGATAAAACAAAACCGAATAAAAGCTGCAGTTTACTCTTAGCAGCACAGAGTAAAGAAAATGTGTCTTTTATCCCAAAAGTGACAGATTTTCTCGGAGGCGTTAAAACAAAACCGAATAAAAGCTCGTGATTATCATGCGAACAAAAATGAAGGAGAAAAGAGTGAGAAATATTTAATCAAGCAGTTACATCGACAGCAACTGGTTTAGTTTTTATTGAAGACATTTCACCTCATCTAAGAGGCTTCTTCAGTTCTAACAGACCGCAGGGAAAACTCTGGTATTTAGCCGCGGAGTAGCCGAAAACCAGAAACGTGGGACGTTTGAAGTAAAACAAAGGCACTGTTGCCAAGGGGCACGTAGTCAGGTTTGCCCCTCAATAGTTACCAACGTCCTGTTGGTCTCCAACAACCCGCAAATCACACCTCAATCCTTGTGATCACAACCTTCTTTCTTGGTATTGAATGTGGTCACATCCTTTGTTTTATGACAAGACAGGAAGTCGTTTGAGGTATTCAGCCACTCCGAGGCTAAGGCCACGTTTACACGGCCACAGTACGACTGCAGTAGCACAGATTCAGCCTTTTGTTGAGACCCATTGGGAGTATTGAGGGGACGGAGAGAGGGACAAGTTTGAACGGAACAAGGTCAGTCGATGTGGTCAGCCTCTCTGTAACCTTTCAACCCAGTTACCACTACCCAATCCCACACAATGACAACCATGGCGGCTGCCAGGCTACCTCTGTCCTAGAGAGGCTAATTTGGCCACAGCTTATGATTCCACTTTTGCACTTCGATCTTGAGCAGTAAAGCGGCGTTAACACAGCATCACACACAGGCCAAGCGTACGTACTACAGGGACCACAGTCGTATTCAGTGGCTCGATTACACACTGAATTTTCTTCGGCCGGCTGTGTGCAAACGGAACAAGAACGCGCCGCATCCGGAGACTCCGCAGTCGTATCGCAGCTGAGTAAATGTGGCCTAAATACCAGTGCAGCTGACCTGGATGTAACTGCTTTGGATAAGATGACCTGGACGACAGATCTTACACTGACGGGTTTTTTTTAAACCAGCTCTGTAAAGATACAGAGGAGCTTTTAAAGCTGCAAACTCACAGACAATGAAGACGTAACCAGATCCCACAGCATGTTTTCAGCCTGGTCTTATTTACTGTGCCAGTCTGTCCCTCTGAGTGAACACACATTATAGAGCATTTTAAAATTCCTCTCACACACTGTCAAATAACCGCTGCCTAATGTGATGGCTGATATTTTTCTTTCTAACGTGACAGTTTCCCTCTGGTGACTTTGTGTTGCTGGTGTCATATAGTCCTTATCTGAAGCAGCTGAAAGATTGTGGACCACGATAGAAGGTGAAGGCAGACAGTGAGTGAAGGGAGAAGCTGAGGGATGTTTGGATAAGGGCACGGTGGCCAATTAGTGCAAAACACAGTTACAAGTTACGGGAAATATTTTTTTTGCACCTTGTAATTTTTGTTTTTGCAAAATGTGAAGTTTAGATATATAATAATTTGCCTTCAAAAATATAGTGAATTTTTCAAAAATGTGGATTTGTTTTTAAAAAAATTTTAAATTTTAAAATTAAAATTCATTTAATACAAAGGGTAGAATATTTTTTTTCTTTTAAGGAAAAAAGATTTTTTAAATTAAATTTTAAATTTTAAAATTCATTTAATACAATTTAATACAAAGGGTAGAATATTTATTATATTTATTTCTTTTAAGGAAAAAAGATGTTGATGGTGTGTTTTTTAAAAGTTACAAAAAAATGTTAAAGCATGTTAAATTATATTTTTAAAGTGTAAATTTGTTTTTTAAAATTCATATTTTAAACTACTATAATAATGGAACAATTCGCATTATATTTTTAAAGTGTAAATTTGTTTAAAATTCATATTTTAAACTACTGTAATAATGGAACAATTCGGTACACAAAAAATTCAATTGTCTCTAGAATAGAGACTTGGTTAATTAACTTTTCTGGTGGTTATTTACCAAAATTGTCTTTTAAAGGTAAATTAGTTAAGTTTTGATTCATGTAAAATGTAATTGCTTTTAATATATTTTTTTGAATACAGTTGTAAAAAATACTTCACAGTTTGTATTTGTGTATTTGCACCATGTGGTCGCCCTACGTGGTCAACCACATGAACCTACACCGGTGTCTTACATGGCTCTGGCAGAAGATGTTGAAATAGGAAGATCTGAAAAAGACTCAGAACTGGGAAATAGACAGCAAACGTCAAGGCAGGAACAGGAAGGTGGAAAGTACTAGATTGAGTAAGTAATATGTACGAGGTGGTACACGTTCTGCACAGTACCTGCGCAGGCTTGCGTCCAGCTGGCTCTCCTCTGTGATCAGCTCCGCTTCACTCTGGGCGATTCTCATGGCCAACTCTCTGTCCCTCCTCTCCTGCTCCAGGACGGTCGTTCTCTGGACCTGCTCCTCACGCTCCAGAGCCAGCTGGATATCCAGCTCTGCCTGTAAAAGCCACACGAGCCACAGCATTTCTACTACAGTCGGTGTGAGTGTGTGTTTCTCAAACAGACATGAATCCTGTGACAAAGTAGACTTGGTACTGTAAGTTACTGTTACTGTCTCTATGTTGTCAGTCTGTTTCATTTCATATTTGCTCTGAAAAACAAACTCTATTATTAAATATTTTAAATTATTATTATTTATTTATTAACTCAGCAAACTTTAAATTAACCATTTAGCATTCAAATACAGGATGATGTCACGCCCATGTGGCCCAATGTGGTAGGTGCAAGTCATTTGCTTTAGATACACTGATAGATTTGGTTGTGGATAGAAAGCCGTCTGTGTTTTCCTAGGACAGATAAGGCATCGCTGTCGTCACTAAGTTAGCTTGCTTCATGCTAAATATCTGACATCAAGAATCTCTTCTTGGCTTGTTTTTTCAGACGACGCCGATTCTAAGGCACAGTGGAATCAAACATGGAGTCCTACCTCTGCGCCCCTCTAGCCCCCTCACCTGTTTACTAAACTAAATCTATCAAATCTGATCGGATACAGAGCGCGATAGAAAATTAACGAGGCCAATAACTTGAGACCAGCGTAAACTCTTCCTGATCGTTTGTCTTAAGAGCAGAACAACAGCTATTCTGGTCTGGTCAATAAATCTGACCCATATTTGTAACCCAAATATTTTCTTTTTATGATGGACAACACCAATCAGAAAACAATTACACCACACACTGTACACAGGGAAGCACGGAGGCAGAATATTATATAATGAATGTATGAAAACTGGATTAGTCAAAGAATATAAGTATAACTGCATATTCAGTGTATTTGCATATCTGTGAACAGAAATCGTTCCCTGGAGGCCCATTTTCTCTGCAGACTTATAAATATGAATATCTTTCTGGTTAAATATATAATTTATACCTTGACTGTGAAACATGAGCAGACTGAAATATTAGCTCAAAAAAAAAAAAGAAAAAGAAAAGAAAAACGCAATCTGTTTGATAATGATACCGAGTTCCTTTAACTGAAAATATTCACTTTTGTGGCTGATCTGTGTTTTATCTCAGTAAGTTCAGTGAAAACACAGTGACACGTTAACCTTTGACACGGCAGAAGACGCCACTGACGGAACAGCAGACGTCTTCAGAAACTTTTCTTCAATGACTCGGAGCGAGGGATAAACAACAAAGAGTCTCCGGGGGCGTGGCCACTAACAGTCTGATGTAAAAAACCCTCGCTGCTAAAAGAAAGAAATCTCCAGAATGCAAATGATACTGAGTGAATAAATACATGTTGCATTCAGACCATTAGGAATCTCCTGGTCCCCGGGCCATCGTTATTAGTTTGATGGACAGCTGGAGAAATTGTTTTTGAAATAAAGTAACTAGATAATTAACACTATGTGGAAACGAGGCCTGTTGTAGAGTCCACTCCACATTTTACTGTCTACCTGACTCTTCTTCTGCACTCATTCTGCTGGCCACGCCCACTCCCCTCTGTTCTCAGCTGCTTCTAATCAGTCACCAAACTGATATTTTAGTCTTCCTCATTCAGACAGCTTTTGCTGGGCTCTGCCCCCAACTGTCACCTTATTTATTGTGCCTACCTGGGTAATGTTAGCTACTCATCGTACCAACAAGAACAAAAAGCACCAAAGTCTTTCAGAACGTCCTAAAACACCAGTCCCCTGTCGGCCTGACTGACTTTAACCTGACTGGTCTTCAACACTGGAGGAAGTCAGACCTGCCTGGAGTCCAAGGCATCAGCAGCACACGCTTTCACCAGTTTTAACAACTGCTTCAGCCAACCACAGCAGACACCAGAACCTGTCAGAACACTGTCCACCTGAAATGACTCCTCATCTACTAACCTGTCTCTTCAGGACTAACTTGACCAGTAGAGGGCATTTGAGGCAGGAGCTAATGCACTGGACAAGAAGTCTCAAACTTAACCTGACCCACCTACGCTCCTAATAAACATACTGCAGCTGCAGCTGTCCTCACTCTCCCTGAGGAAGACCAACATTAAGAGGACATCGTTGTTGCCAGTCTTCCCCTGTCTCAGAGGACCGGCTTCCTCCTCTGACACTGAGCATAAGTTTGGACTTTTACCTTAAAGAAGAAACCGTCAGATGTCACCGTTCACCTTCCCTTCGACCTCCAACTCAACTTGAAGACAGCAGAGCGTAATGTGAGTAAAGGGATCAATGACTGCACTCAGAAAGTGGTTTGTTAAGCTGGTGTAAAATCTTAATGACAAAACGTGTTATGAACGACTGCCCCTCAACTGTCACGGCCAATTTTTATTTTAAGTTTCTTTAGACCGATACTGTAACATACTTGTGTTCCTGGTTGAAGAGTTGTGTACTGTTTTTGCTAGCTTTAGCAAAGCTTGTTATTTAAGTTTCAGTTTCGAAGAAAGAAAAAAAAAAAAAGAAACTAGTTCTTCTGCAACTTTTAAGCTTTTTCATTTATATGCTTTTTTAATATCAGAGAAAACTAAGCTTTTTCTGTTGTTGAGAAAGACATTAGCAGTCGGCTCACGCTAGCATGTTGTATTTTCCTTAATGTGATTTTGTCTCTGAGGAATTGTGGCTTAGTTGTGTCAGAATTGTTACCTTCAGGTGTTCGGTGGAGCTTTAGCAGATGAAGGACGATGATAGTAAATAATCTGATAAGACAGTTTTTCTTTTTTTTAATTCTACCATTATTCGACCCAGTGTGTCCAGCCCTGACATTCACGTGTCTCTGGTGACGTAAACGACTTGATCTACTGTATTCATACTGTAGCTCTCACACGCAAGACTTGATTAAAAAATATAATTCACACGTTAGAGCCATGGCGTCCATCCACCGTTTCTTACATTTCTTGCTGTTTCCTGTGCAAATGATGATTTAAGGCACAGACTGTCATTTAATATGCAGATGCAGTTCCGTTCTAAAATTATTAACGCCATTGATCTTTAAAAAGGTCAGTCCAGATTGTTAACGGTCATGAAACTAATATTTCCCAGAAGAAAACATTAAAATCACTCAGCTTGATAAATACACAAACACGAAACTTTTATGTCCACCAGAAAAACAACTTAGATACAACTGAAGCCGAACTTTCATTTTAAAAAATGAATTCCAACCCATAACTGCCGTCTCGTACCTACTATGTGCTCAGTTGTATTTTAAATGTACTATTGATTCAGTTCTCGCTACATTTCAGTTTCTTAGGTGTTCAACCTTGACAGACAGAGATGCAATTTAGCGAAAGGCTGCAATAAACGGTAGCGACTGACCCGCTGTGCTCTCAGAGGCCGTCTTATTAAGATGTGATTATAATGGCGTTGAGTCACCGCTGGGGAATAAAAGTCGTTGAACTCGGTGAGAGACAACATAAAACATAAGAGACTCGGCACATCCTGATATTCTCAGCCAACAGTATGTGACGGGCTGTCGTAATAAAAATACTCCTTGGCACATTTTTAACAGAAACTCTAGATTTTCAATCACAGTAAAATGTCACTTTGACGATGACTCAAACCTGTAAAACTTTCTCCTCCTCATCTCGCTTTTTTCGATCTTCTTCCTCCTGCTTTCGCTTCACCTCCATCTCTGCTTTCCTGAAATGTTACGGGGGGGAGAGATTGTGACATTTAATGACCTGACATCTTTTAACTTTCTCACCTCTTCAAATAACCCCCCTCGGCCCCTCCCCCAGGTCAACCACTCACATCCTTCTGTCCTGCTCTTCCTGTGTGCGCCGTTGCTCTTCCTCCTCCCTCCTCTTCTTCTCTTTCTCCATCTCTTCCTCGATGTGCTTCAGCCTCTCGCTCTCCTCCTCTTCCTGCTTCTTCTTTTGCATGGACGAAAGCAGTTGCTCCGAGCGTTTCACCAGCGCCTGGTACTCTGTGTCAATCTCTTTCCGGGTCATCACTGTGGCCTGGAGGTCAGAGGAGGGATCAAATATAAAAACCTAGGATTGACTTTTTACATCTTTTTACACAAGGTGGAAGTGATTTTTTTTTTGTACGCCTTCACATTGTCGGACACCCGGGGGGAGAGGAGGTCACCGTGTTATAAAGATTGATGGCAGAGCCACAGGGAGGAAGGGCAACAAGATCCTCCTTCCTTGTGCAGGGACACGACAGTGACATTGACGTCTCATGAATATTCACTCAGTGATACCAATACCAGGCGTTATTTCGCACTCACTGTGCCATTAGCCTCCACACCGGGGCTGATAATAAGCTAACGGAGAGACGCACGCGGAGAGAGGGATATTATTGTTGTGACAGGGGAGTGGGGCGAGAGACGGGGGTCAGGTCACAGGTGCATCGGTGTCAATCTTGATAAAACGCCAAGGAATCGTTTCAGTGGAACCTTTTGATTGGATTCATATGATAATGATATGAAGTTGATAATCAGGGAAGGGGCCGCCATGATCGCTGAGCATCATGTGACTTTTTTGTGATGATTTGCTGGAAGCTAAAATGAAACCAGTTCTTATTGCACAGGGAAGGCTGGGATTTTACTAATGCGGTTTGATAAAGTAGCAGGACAGAGTGACTAAATGAAATGAAGAGGGGGAAAAAAGGAGAGAGTTTCATCTTCAACTAGCTCTAAATGTTCATGATGAGATGATTGAAAATATTGACTTTATGTAAATCTGTAAGATAATACGTGGATGATGGTAATCATGGCTGGAGAAGACCAGTGTCTGGCAGAGACAGTGGTGCTTCAACCATGGATGTCTTCAGCACTGACTCACCTTGATCTTGGCTATTAGTGCGTCTATGGCAGAGGCAAACTCTTGGACTTGTTTGGCCATCTCCTGTTTGCCCTCCTTTAGTCCGTTCACCACCTCATTGAAACGCTCCATGCGTTTCTTTAGATTTCTGACCTTCACCATTCCATCAACGCTGTAGGGAACGAGAAAAGAAAAAAAGTTCATCTACAGAGCACACGAATAGTCTAATTTGAAGGTTAACTTTAGCAAAATGGGAACAAACTGCCTTAAGGTTCTCGGGGGAAGCACATTCAGCAGCAGGTTCTATCCTCTGCCTTAAAACACAGATTTTATTTTCAAATTTTAAATGAATAAACTACCCTATAACTAATGATCCCCTATGATCTAATATCCTGACACCCAATCTTACTACTGAAAATGTATTATTTCTCAAAGATGAAAACACCTTCTTCAACCTTTGGGTCATGAACCCATATGGGGTCACCTGGAACTCAAATGGGGTCCCTCAAAATGTCAAGTAATTGATAAAAAATGACTGATAAAAATATCCTTTTAGTAATTATTAATCTTTGAAGTTATAATTAAAACATGTGCAAAATCCTTAAGAACTGTATTATTTTACGTTCAGGAAGAATTCAGGAATTTAGTTCAAAATAATTGCAGCATATAAAAATATCTGAAATGACACATCGTGATTTTTGACCGTTCAAGTGACTTAAAATTGGCTCTGGGTTCGGCAGAAATTTGTGACATTAAAATGGGGTTGCAAGCCAAAAAAGGGTTGTGAACCACTGCTTTAGACACAGTAAAGACAGTCAAAACTCTCTATGCGGATGAAAAAATAAAAATAAAAAACAAAAAACGCAGAGGAAATTAAACTGCAGGAAAACTGAGATTATAGAGAGATTAAAAGGACAAAAGGCGAAGGGCACAGGTCGGAGCGAGGCGGATGAAAAAATAAAAATAAAAAACACAGACAAACACAGAGGAAATTAAACTGCAGAAAAACTGAGATTATAGAGGGATTAAAAGGGCAAAAGGCGAAGGGCACAGGTCAGAGCGAAGCCCAGTCTAGTGTTTGTGTTTATGCGTGTCCATTTTGTCCCAGTGTCAGTAAATGGATACAGAGAACAGGGAGAGACGCACCGTGACTTATGTTTCTTCTTACACAACCACATGCGGACAGTCTTCTGAATCTTAATGCAGGCCACGGCTCTGTAACTCATCTTGTTCCTGACTGTTGGAGGAAAACAGGATTAAAAAAAAGGGGGAAAATAAATGAAATAATTACAGAAAAGATCAATGAATGCTAACCCTAAATTTATTTTCTTTAGTTTGTTGCTTACTTTACGCATAACTTGGATTATTTTTCTACACCACACGAGTTCCATTTCTCTCACCAATGCACACACATATTGTAGTGAATGGCACCAAATAAAATGATACTGAAGTGTTGGAGGGAATAAAGGGTAATTACCAGCAGCATACAATTTCAACTGCTCACTTAATGCAGGGTCACGCACACACACACAGACACACAGACGCATGTCTGCCCTTTATGAAATTCCACATCATTCTTTTATACAAATAAAAAATAATCCTGCATTTTAATGAATGTTGGAAATCAATAAGCTGACTAAGAACCTAATGGATCAAAGGACAACTCGATATCACCATAGGCTGCAGCTTTTAATATTCAGAACAATTGTACGAGTGGGAAACACAATCGTGTCCCAGTGCTTCCAGAGATGTGCGATAATGAAGCAGCTAAAAATCATACACTGGAAAGTTAGAAGAAAAAACAGCCTGGCTAACAGAAATGTGACACTCAGGGTTTTTTTTACATTGAATTCTTGTCCTATAGAAAGTAGAAACGCTTGGACTCAGTGAAATGTGGGTCTTTTTTTATATCCATATTTGAACAGCTGCACAAAGACCAGGTGCAAATGGAAACGATAAAATGACAGGTGGAAACTGTGCATCAGACAATCAAGTGTCTGGACAGAAGTGAGTTTTAAATCTGCATCAATGGCTGAAACCGACTGCAGCCACAGCCAAAAAGATTGTTCTAACTTTCTTTAGTCTTGACCAGAATATCTCAAATAAAGGGCCGTCTGACAAATTAGTTTTGTACATTAGCAACGCGTCACGCTTTTGTACCCGATACTCACAAACACACATATGGTACATAAATATCCCTCTATCATTTTGTATCCCTTTCTATACGTCTAATGTCTCTATCTCTGCCTTTAACATCTGTCTATATGTCAGTCTTCATCATATATACTGTATGTATATATGTGTGTATCTATGTATGTATACATATATGTAGATACTTGCATATGTATATATATGTGCATACATATATTTGTATATATATTCACAGTATATACACTGTATGTATCTTAATACAAATATGTACATACATTTTTACTTGTATTTGTACATATATGTGTATGTATATGTACATATATGTTTGTACATATACATACATATTTGTACATACATATTTGTGTGTAAATATATTTATACCTATATATGTATGTACATACATAACACACCTATTTCTATACATGTATGTATACATTACCTATATATGTATGTACATACATAACATACGTATATCTATACATGTATGTATACATTTATATGTATGTGTGCATATGTATGTATTGCACTGTACATTATATGCATATGTATGTATATACAGTATAATTTCTCTTTCTCTCCCTTTTTCTACCCTATCTATCACAATCTGTCTAGTTTTTTTATCTCTCCCTTCCTACATACATATCTCCATCTCTCTCTACATATTTAGCTCCACCTACTGTTTTTGTTTGCTTTACATTTATACCGTTCAAACACCGCTGTGTCGCGTGGGCTCAACGTACGTTTGATGACTGACAAGCAGCACCACTGAACCTTCTTCCAGCGGCTGCACACCAACCACGTGTTGACTTTCTGCAGCAGCTCAGCCAGGTGGTCTGGATCAGATTTCATGATCTGGTCAAACTCTGCGAACTGACGCACACGTAGACAAAAGCAGAGAGAACAGAAAAGTCCTTGAAAATGAGGGCACACTATGTTTGTATTCTCAGGAGCTGCCGTGTGTACAAAATGACCTGCAAAATAAGGAGGTGATTAATTATGTGGACTTAACTGTACCTTTCCAGGTCGGAAGAACACTCTGGTCAGTCCAAACTTAAAGTCACTGTCATTGAGTCCAAGAGCTTTGAACAAAGCCTGGAAAAGAGCAAATTCACTTGACACAGTCTGATTAGAATATTTGGGGCAGCAAAATCCACACTTCGGGACTTTTACTGCGAAAATTCCACAGCTAATTAGGATTTATTTCAAGTAGATAACATTGTTGCTCTAACACTGCTCTGCTCTAATAAGAGAGCGGAAAACAAATGAATATATATTTTTTGCCACCTTGCAGAATAGTCGTGGATTCAGCCGTGTTAATTTTTCTGGCATGTACTGTTTGTACATGTTGTAAAGTTCGTGGAAAGGTGCTCTGGAGGGAAAGCCGCCCTGCATCAGGTCCAGCACTGACACCATGCCTGTCCAAACAGAAGGGTTTCACAAAGAAAGGATTAGTCAAAGAGAAACCAGTTTATTCATTATAACAACATTTTTATGTTTTTTATTTTCCATTTCCACAACAGGTGATTGACTTCATAAATTTAAAATAAATAAATCATTATGTAGACGGTAAACCAATTTAAATATGAGTTATTTTTAATATATGTTTAGTTAAATTTAAATTACATTTTTTTAAATTAATTTTCAGAAAATAATAAACCTGATAATGACAGTAAATAGTGGCAGTCATGAATATGAATATTTTTTTATTAAACATAATAAATAAAACAAAGAAATTGTTCCCAGCAATATAATCAGAAAGCAGAGAGGCACAGATTTGTCAACGTTGGGTTTAAGAGGAGAATCTGCCAGACTCAGACTGCACGTAAGGATTAATAATAATAATAAAACACAATAACTTGGTCCCTTATTCCCTTATCCCTTCATTTACAGTGTGAGTCTTTGGAACTAACACAGGCTGCCACAGGAGGCGCCATTAGGAATATGTGGATCCTCTGGGCATCAAACCCAGGAATCTGTGTCTGTGTCTGAGCCTCTCTTTGTAGGTCAATATATAAAAGTCATTGTGGTCAATCTAGTTCTAATCCTACAGTATATTTGACCTGGTGGGGCTGTTTTTACAAACCTGCACACTGCAGCTGCGAGAGAATCAGAGCTCCTTCAAACTGGTGGCTGACCATCTTCAGGTTGGGTTTAACACAGCGAATGAAACTGGAGCCCTGCAAATACGAGAAAATGAATGATGAAGAATTGATTTTCTCAGTCGGCGTCTGCTATCTGTGAAACTCCAGTAATAAGAACATTCTATAATGATTTCTACATTGCATTTGACGCTTTGCAATTGCAAAAGAATGGTTTTTAATGATACAAAAAAAAAAAGTGTTGAGAAATGGAATGTGAAAATAAAATGATAAATAAACCAAATATTACTTACTGTGCTGCGAAGCTTTTCCAGCAGCAGGTTCAGCTGCGTCTGGACAAAAAGAGCAAACAAGAGTGGTTTAATGAAAATAAATAAAGCACAATCTCTCTCCAACTCTAAATCCAAGCATAAACTGCTTAATGAAAGCTATTTGGAGCTCAAGAGTTCAGACCAAATTCTACCTTAAAGTAGAGCTAAAATCAAACTATTGATTTAGTGTCAAGCTACAAACCATTCACTTCATCTCTCGTGAAAACAAACACATCGGGCCTGTGAGCCCACATATCACCAACAAATGTCTGCTGATGTCAAACCTCAACCTGAAACGAAAACCTGAAGATCTTAATCTTCATATTTTGGTTATTTTTCATGTGTCCTGTTGACTACCAGCCCGTTGTTTGTACGTCAAGCTGACTTTATCCAGATTTAACTGCCGAAGATGGTTGGAAGATAAAAGACTACGGTAAAATAAGATGAAACTAAAACAGACTAGACAACTAGAACTAGAGAGAGAGAAAATGATGAGAAGATCAGAGGTTAGGAGTAAGTAAAGGACGAAAACAAGCAAAGACAAATGTGTGGACTAAGGTGTTGTTTTTACTGTAGCTCACTGAACCACTGCGGTGATGCATCGTGCTTTGGCTTTTCTAATCTAGCCCTGGAGGTCGAAGCTATAAAATAAAACTTCAAAACTTAATGAATTCATTTTTAGGTGCTTAAAATTACAAAACAGTCTGAAAAGTTTAATTACAAGGCGAAGTACTGTTTTTTTCCCACCGTCCGTTTCAGAGTGAAATTAAAATGCATAGTTGCAGGACCTTAAGGCAGGACATTGCCTTCAGTTAGCGGGACATTGACACTGACCTTGAACTTATTGCCAACGCTGATGAAGCTAAGTTTGCCAGCCTTCTGTTTGGAGTCCTTGGTGGTGGCGGAATTCTCAAACAACTCTCGAACAAATTTGTCTTTCGATTCACACACGAGGCTCTCGAGAGACATGTGAAGGGCGTCGTTGTTCTTCTCCACAAAACGGGTCTGCAGACATGAGGCACAAACACAGACACAAACAACACGGAGCACATTTAAAAGTTGATGTTTGAAAATGGTTCTCTCTGTCTAGGTATATCTATTTATACATATCCATATATTTATATAATATATATATGTATATAAAATATACATATATGCTATGTATATATTATATACACTCACCGGCCACTTTATTAGGTACACCTGTCCAACTGCTCGTTAACACTTAATTTCTAATCAGCCAATCACATGGCGGCAACTCAGTGCATTTAGGCATGCAGACATGGTCAAGACAATCTCCTGCAGTTCAAACCGAGCATCAGTATGGGGAAGAAAGGTGATTTGAGTGACTTTGAACGTGGCATGGTTGTTGGTGCCAGAAGGGCTGGTCTGAGTATTTCAGAAACTGCTGATCTACTGGGATTTTCACGCACAACCATCTCTAGGGTTTACAGAGAATGGTCCGAAAAAGAAAAAATATCCAGTGAGCGGCAGTTCTGTGGGCGGAAATGCCTTGTTGATGCCAGAGGTCAGAGGAGAATGGCCAGACTGGTTCGAATCTCAATCCAATAGAGCATCTTTGGGATGTGGTGGAACGGGAGATTCGCATCATGGATGTGCAGCCGACAAATCTGCGGCAACTGTGTGATGCCATCATGTCAATATGGACCAAACTCTCTGAGGAATGCTTCCAGCACCTTGTTGAATCTATGCCACGAAGAACTGAAGCAGTTCTGAAGGCAAAAGGGGGTCCAACCCGTTGCTAGCATGGTGTACCTAATAAAGTGGCCGGTGAGTGTATATGGTACATATATGTATATCAAGGTGTATATTTGTATAAATATATGTATATATGCATATATATGTGTTTATATATGTATATATATATATGTTGGTGTGTATATATTTTCCTCTCTGTAGACAGATAAATTAATCACAAATACTGCAAACACTAACAGTACCCTTCTGTATATTTGTGAAGCTAAATAGAACTTTTTTTATGTTTATGACTATTTTTCCCATCAGTGTAAGCTTTCAAAAACTGTACTTATTTTCCACTCTACTTTGACAAAACAAATTATACGCTAACTGACCGTTTCGTAGCAGACGGCTCCAGCAAAGTGCCTGATGATAAAGCCCTCGTCGTCCCGGAGATTCCGGTGAATCGTCAGCTTTGATTTTCTGGGAACCTGAGCGGAAGAGTTAAAAGGCAAATTATAGTTAATGACAGTGCTGGAAAAACCATATGTTGATTTCTCTCTGATTAAAGTCACTGGGTGTTGAGCAAGGCCTTACAAAAGCATGAAATAACAAACTCTGTGAATGATATTTTCTTTTTCTTTGTAATGTGTACTTTACAATACACCATTAGCCCCATTGATTGAACACTACTCAATAATTACCTTAAGTGTTAAAGCTGATTGGTTAGCAACCAATTAAGGGTATTCCAGTAGATGTTGTAGTGTTTTTTCCTATTTCCTTTATATGTTAATACTTTAGTTTATTCCTCGTAACAATCCTACAGTGAGAGTGTTTGAGATGTTGTAGTGTTTTTTCCTATTTCCTATATATGTTAATACTTTAGTTTATGCGTCATACATTAATTCAAGACATGAATAGACGCCAAGGCCACATTTACAGAAAGATGTCATGCTACAGATACAGGTATTGACGAGAGGGTGTTTAAGGGGAGGTGGGGGTGTTGTTGGATCATTCACAAAACTGCTGTAATACGCAGTCAAAGAAGAAACGGCAACAATGGCAGGCTCTGTACAGTTCAATTGCTCCCCGTGTCACACAAAAAGCTTAATGCTATTGTCCTGTTTCTTTGAATTGAAGAAAGAGAATAATGGCAGCAAACCGAAGCAGAACAACGCACAAAGGCAGGAGATAATAAGTAACACAGCGGAGGAGAAAGAAGGTGCGTGGGAGAGGCACTGAAAGGAGGCTGACCGTCAATCTGAAGTGGTCTTTATGCTTGCTGTGAACAGCAAGTGCAAAGTGTTGGTCACTGGGCTGTGGAAGACGGTTCTCCTCATCTAGAATGTCCAGGACACCTACCAACTTTGCTTCCACCAGGTCTGAAAATGACAGAAATGTATCCGTTATCTACAGTGTTCTAATCTACAGTACAGTTATCAGCGTAACTGGTTACACACACACAGGTACTGGGATTTGATGCAAGGCATTTATACAGATGGAAACCTCATCACAGTGGCTTCTGAAATTAATATTTGTTAGCGAACCTCCATTGTTTACTGATTGTGAATATTCAAAAACACAAGACGTGTTGATCAGGATGCTCAATTCGCCGTTTCTCTGAATTATTCATGTGCCTTGCTGTGTTCGGAATATAATTTAATAGCCAAGGACCTCGGCAAAAAAATCTGCATAGCCAAGCACCTGCGCATAAATCCTGGAAATTGATGGATGAATTAATGGCCAACGCAAACGGTCATTTGCAAGTCATAAATGTTATTCATGGCTGTCAGTTAACCTTGCACCCGAATACTCACAGGCTTTGAAATACAAATCAAACCGTTTCACCTTGATGCACTGACTACTTCATCCCATTAATTTGAGGATTCATTCTGAAGATAAGGACGACCAAAACAATGAAGCGTCATCTCTGTGGCTTTTTCGCAGCACAAAAGAGTCCACATGAACACAGGGATACTCATCCTGCATGCTCCCTTCAGACAGATACATGTGGCAGCCTCTTGGATAATGAGCAGTTGATATTTTTGCCCCTGTGACAGGTGTATTTTTGACACTCTAAGATGATGCCCACAGCAAGCACAGGGGAATGCCATGTGGGTGACCCGATGTTACACTGGAACTCACCGCGGTACATTTGTGTTGTGAGGGCACGTCTGTTTCTGTACATATAGTTTTTTCATTCCATACATTTTGTAATTTGACAGCAGAAGCTCTCAAACGCAGCACTTCAACTTAATGATATACCTGAGTGTCACTTAGCAGACGTGCTTTCACTTGCTGAGATAACCCCAGGTCTGTGGTACTTGTGGATGTGAACAGACATACTCCTACACACGAATGCTTTTGGTTTTGGCATCTGAACTCTAATGGAGACAGCCGTCTCACCGGCTGTATATATGCTGTACACATCACTTTATATTCTACACCTCAAAAGTCTCAGTCCAAACAGAACCGACTTGTGCTTTTAACTTAACTGGTCTTATCCCTGGTCACAACCAGGAGGAGGGAATCAGTCTACAGTGTGTTACAGATGTAGGTTCTCTCCTTTTTGACTGCTAATATTCAGCTGTTTCAGGGATACGTGCTAGCTGGTAGCATGATAGCACTCAACAAGAAATGACGCTACAAACATTTTGTTGTAATGTTGGACGTTAAAATGTAATGTACATTTTTTACCAATTTTCTGCCATGTTGAGTTGCTATTTCAGTGATACCTGATGGTATTGTAGCTCCAAAGAGTAATGGAGCTAACAAGCTAACGACTTCAGTTTGTAGCTGTGAAATTTAGTCTTTAGTATGTTTTGTCAATTTTTGTGTTCTACCTTTTTGGGTTTAACGGAGGACCCAACCTAATTTTTCGTGTATGACCAGTTTCATTATAATTACTAGAGATAAGTCCAGTAGAAGTCAACGGACTATCTTGGTTTCCTTGAGTATAACTTATATCTGAATTTGTAAAACCTCCTTTGGTTTACAGCAAACCAAAGGAGGTGACCGCGCCCTAACCCATTGGCAACATGGTTTGATCACCCGTGGTGAGGTGTGAATCGGGCGGGGGGTTCATTGAGTCTGTTTGTGTTTCTTGTTGTACGAGGATTTGAATTTTCTCGTGAACTCAGGACAACTGTGACGGTCGTCACTACACTGTAAACAACATTGTGCCGTTTGTGTTTGGTATCTATTCTTTGGGCCTAACTAGTTTTTGTTGAGGGCGTTGCTGGGTTTGAATTAGAGGTTTTTTCAGAGACATGAATAACATAAGGAATTACAATGTTATTCTGTTTATTACTGTTCTCAAGAAACATAGAACATCTGGTTGCCTAAAGTTTAGTCTACTACAGCTGAAATGACCTTCATGACTGAGAACTACATACGTGATGTAGCTAACAACTCCATTGTGTATGTGAAGTTTAGCCTTTAGCATGAACTGTCATTTTGTGTGTATTGAAATTTTATGCATGTCCATTTATATTCCGTATTTGGCCGTCGGGTTAACAAGATACATGGTAGCATCGTAGCGAGCAGCCTGCGATGAAGCTAACAACTGCACTGTTTTGAACATGAATTGAAAAGGGATTTTTGCAATTTTGATTGCGAAAGTGAGATCAACAATTTTACTAACGTATGTCAGATTCTGCCATGAAGTTGCAATTTGTCTACATTGTTTGTTTCTGGCATGCTAGCTTACATGCTAGCTTTAAGCATTAGCTCACAACTAGAGATATAGCTAAAAATTACACAGCTTCTTATATGGACTGTATTTTCTACATTACTGTTTCTTATTGGTCATTGTTTATGTTCAGGATGAACAACACACTGTTTTTTGATTATTAACTTAATTCAAGTCTTAGGTAATAAATCATTTAGGCTCTTACCAATGCAGTCCTGATTGTCAACGTAATGGACCTCATTTACTCCCAGTCCTTCTCTTTGATACAGCTCTTGCTCCTGCGCAGACAGGAAAAAATAAATTGACAACAGGAATAGGCTTTTGAAAATAAGCACCCATGTAAATTTTAATTCACACATAGCTTCTTAACGTCACCATACCCTAATTAAAAACGCAACGAAAAACAAACGGAACCACGTCAAACTCAAAACATCCGATTCACTTAATGAGACGCAGGCTTAAGCCAGAATTGTGGCACATTAATTGGAAACCCTTGAAAAAGAATAATGTTAAGAGATCACAGGAGAGGAACAGGCCTCATCATGTCGCCTGCAGAATTAGCATTGTAATGAGAGACAGGGAGATAGAGGAGAAAAAAAAAGGGAATGGAAAAATAAGAGAAATACAGAGAGCACAGAGACACAGAGGGGGGAATCAGACGTGCTTTGAGTGCCAACCACTCCCGTCTGGCTTGGAAGAGTTAGTAGTTTGTATTGTGAGTGACATGACACAGCAGGTTTTCTCCGGATAAGAGAAGAAAAACGCACTGTATTACCTTAATCCACACCCTGGCCACCCACCTCTTTGAGAATTCGCTCATTGAAAAACTGCTGCAGTTTCTCGTTGCAGTAATTGATACAAAACTGCTCAAAGCTGTTATGCTCAAAATACTCTGGGGAAAAAAAAGAAAACAGAGAAGGCAGAAAACACAATTCTATTAATTCCATAATGAAGAAAATCACAGATTCTTAGTTAATTATAAATCATAAACAACGCTACATGGTAATGAATTAAATGTCGAGGGTTATTATATTAGAGAACATGTTGTACAGACACGTGTTTGTATAATTAAAGTGGTAGATTAAAAATAACACTTCAAAAACAACATTTTTTGAAGCTGTATTTTTTTTTTTTTTGCAAATCTCTTTAAATTGAATCAAAATTTGACAACAATTTATAGAGCAGTAAATGCATTTTATTACCGAACCCAGCTATGTCCAGCACCCCGATGAAGTTGGAGGACGACTTGAAGGGGAAACACTGGTTAACACGTTTGACGACGTGATCAAAAAGCCGGCTGTACACGGCCTTGGCCAGAGCGTCACGGGCATTGTTGGCTTGTTCCACCTTCAGAGGCACCCTGGGAAAACGTAAATAAGAAAAAAAATGGGACAGAGGCGTTGTGAAAGTGAGACGGCAGCAGAAGCAGAGCTGTGTTGATATAATACATCTCGTCGCCGGGCGCTGCTCCCCGGCTGATCCTTTTCATCAAACCCAATGATCACCTTAAATGAGGGGCTCTGAGCCACAGAAACCATATTAAAGCTATAAGCTGAACCTTCTACCTTACTAACGACACTTCAACACCTTTTATTTTAAATTATTTAGAGGGGTTGACTGCACAGACAAAGTGCAGGTCCACAGTGGCCCAGAGTTCAAATATATTCTCCCAGCAGCAAAGATGAGATGAATTCAAAACCATTTTTTTCCTCCCTTTTTTTTTTTTGCGATGATAGCTCCTAACTTACTTTTTTCCTTTTGAAATTCCACCCACCAAGTCTCCAAAGGAACCGACATCCGTTACACACAGGAATAGTTCACACTCTGACTCACGTGGGAATTCTCTTCCTTCCCGTTTCACTATGCCATGACTTTAATGCTGTGAATGTTTGAACGACAACAAGGCCCGAACAATTAACCTGCGTTTTTCACCGAGCCTAAAATGTGGCACCCCTGATGCTTTACATCCACTCACCTGTTACCTCCAGCCCCCCCGCCTCCCATCCCCCAGGGATTAAGCGAGGCTTAATGACAAAAACAGGCCCCATAGCCCCACCTGCTCCCCTGACACCAGGCCCTTACTGTACTGTGACCGTGCTCCAATGCCTCCTCAGATACAAACTGCATTATTTATGTGGAGAAAACACTTCCAGGCCAGGCAAGCATCTGGCCTTACTGAAATATTTATCCACCAAACCAGGCCCCATCACTGCCACAGTACATACTGTAGAGGCGGTGCCAGCGTAGTGCCATATTCCGCTCTCAACATGTTCACGGTGTTAACCTTGCGAGCCATCATGACATATTCATGCAAATGAAAGGGCAGGTTACGGCGTAAAGGCTTTTACTGTGGCACAAAAGCAAGGGCAGCAACACTAGAATGTAGAATTGGACACAAAATCATAAAACTCCTGTTCATGTCATAAAGTCACTAATACTTAATGATGTCATTAGATGCAGGGAAAGGTAAGGGCTGAGGTGAGATTGTGGCTGGTGATTTAGTTCAGTGGCCCTTGAAGGGAACATGAAAAGGAGGAAAAGAAGAAACTGCATATTGTTGTTCATGTTCACATACCATACAATCATGCACACATGAACAAGAACTTAATTATATTGTATGAAGCCCTAATGATGGATTATGTTGCCGACCTTCGGTGGTGCTCAGAGCCGGAACATCTTATGCAATACCAGTGCTGATGAAAACACTGGCAGTATGTGCAGATGTATATTTATAGGAACAATTACTTCCACAGATTGACATTTTTCTTGATAATGAACAACAAAACACTTAAAAGAAAGTTTCCCCCCTTTTTTCTAATGAACATGTCAAAACAAATGTTCTTCTCTTGGTCTTACTTAATAACTGTGCCTTTGGCGCCCCCTGCTGTAGTCAGCATGACTCTTGTAGTGAGGCTGACACGGAGATCCTCCTGATCCAGACCGAGCAGGTCAGCACACCATTCCAGAGTTTGGCCTGATTGGTTTTTTAGGACGCAGCCGCCTGAAACACACAGTGAATAACAAGTCGGTCACAATCTGGGGTTTGTAAATAGTTTCCCATCTATTAGTCGTCTTATTTTTGTTTAGTGGCTTTGAAAACATCATTCAATTAAACCACAGGGACCTCCCAAGACAAGAGAGCCGCTGTGGTTGCCAAGGTAGCAGAGGTCTTTTATTTTTACCTCTCCTCCAGGTGCATTGAAGGACACGTGTCTCATCATTAAAGCCGTATTCAGACCAAAGATTACACACGTGCTTATTAATAGCCACTCGTTTTAGCTGGTCTTAGCTGTGTGACTTGTTCTACTTATGAAGATATTAAAGGTCCTTTCAGGAAACCAAAGATGATTAATTCCTATTCGTGACAGCAAAATGGCTGGGAGTTTGTCAGATAAGCTCTTTGTTTTTTTTTAGAAAAAGTGAAAAACCTACAGTATGAACATCTACACCTATCTATCTATGAACATATTATCATACACTCATCTACACTTTGGATATATTTCTCTCACCTGAGGAACTCCCTGTCTCTTCAAAGTCAATGTTGCCCAGATGCAGAACCCCAGCGACCACTCTGAACAGGTCAAGCTTCTCCGTGTCATCAAGACCGATTTTCTTCATGGCACCACACATCCTGTTGAAGTCGCCCTGGTCGTCCAGGAGGGGGTCCTTCAGAGCACCGACCTTCAAATGCTGCAGAGGACGTTTGAGTTAGAAACAACAGCTTTTTAGTCAGCATGGTAGTCATACTGATCTACAAAAACTAAAAAAAAAAAAAAAAAAAACAACAACAAAAAACACCCAGACATCTTATTTTAGAATCTGTCAAAGTCTCTGAAAGCATCAAACCGCCGTTAAAAAACACCACTCGGATACAGAAAAAAACAGTTCTCAGAGTTTTAGGATGATGACTAAAAAAGCATGCCACTAAAAATGAGACTAATTGCTTCGCAGTAATTGGAGGATAATCCAGAAGTGACATTTAATATAGAGTGGCTGCAAAAATACACGACTTAAATAATTGCGCTAACAAACGTTTTATGGTTATTGTAGCATTGGGAATAAACCATTATCACTAATTTGTCAAAAAAAAAATCATGTTTTTATCAAGAATTATTATAATGTGTAGTTTTGCAGCCCTCAGTTAAAACAGCAACACCTAGTGGATGCAAAAGGAGGAAGCACACAGTGAAAGAACAGAATCTAAACCCATCAGAGGGGAAAAAGTCCAAAGGTCTGAGTAGAACAGAAGGGTCACCTTGTTGTCCTGTGGGCAGTCATAAAGGCAGAGGACAGGACAGACAGACAGATGGACAATTAATGGATTAAAAAATATTCATTACCACTGTGCTGCTAGCATATTTGTGAGAGCAAACACGACAGCGTCTAGTAAACGGAGTGATTGTCGGAAAGGTTGGAGAGATTTAGAGAGTTCAATCCAGTAACAGACATCAACATGCATTTTTTAATGACGCTTATGTTCAACTATCACGGCAAAATGTGTCTTAATTGATCCTCTTCTTTGAATCTATTGGGCTAAAAAAACCTCTCAGTTCCTATTCTGTCTTGGAAAACAAAAATGGAAATAAACATGTATAATTAGCCCCCGAGAGAGCGACCTGCCACACTTACTCTGTAAATTGTTTCATGATATTAATTAAATGTCTCCTGCAGGCTTTGCACAACAGCTCAACTTGGACCCGGCTCTGTTTCGTGCCTTACATTATTCATCGAATACACAGACCTGACCTCTTTTTTTTTTTTTTTTTGCATAAAATATTGTCTGATTGATCCGTTTCTGCGAATACATTTTTAAAGCTTTGCAGAAAGTTTTTACAAACATTGTAGACTGGGATTTAATTTTAGTCAAGTGATTATTAAAAAAACACTATTTTTTAGCTTTATATTTTACATAAAATAGTTTTACACCAAGTAGTAACCCAACCCAGAATTTTGACATTACCTCAGCACTCTTGCGATTCTGCATGATCTGTGTATCAGAGTCTTTACAGGCAAAGTATCTGGTGCATCCTCGGTTCAGGTACTGGTAAAAAAAAATAAAAAAATAAAAGAAATAAAACATTGAAACTTTTAAAACAAATGTAAATTTAGACAGTACTAAAGAATATTTGGGTGATTTCTCTATTGATAGCACCATCTCAGCAATTGACTCAGTTGTTTCTCCCAGTTCCGTTCCACAGCTGACTAGTGGTGAATTGCACAGCGTAATTGCCTCTGTTGATGTGGCTATCACCTCAGGGATCCGGCATAATGACAAGCTGATATAATGATAAACATCTTAAGGAACAACTTGAGCTGCTTGTTGTTCCGTTAAGCGTTGTTCCATAGAGCGTGTAGGAGAAAATCACATGGGAGACAAACACCTTAATGCCCCCTCACTTCACCCCTGCTGAGGTAATAAGTGCATTTAAATAGCAGAGAATTCAATTTGAAATATTTTGGTTACTGAGCAACAAGTTTGATGTCATCTGGGAGGGTATTTTATCACCTCGCTGGTTAATGGTTCCAAATAAACTCATTTAAAGTATCTGCGACACGCTCCTAAAAAAAGGCGGGGACAAAGGCAGTTGCACCGCTGGGTCACATCCGTCTTTTCTTTCAATTACACGTTTAATTGTTTGGGTAGTGAGGCGTTAGAATAAAAAATCCATTCTTTTGCTATTTACATTGTTTTACATTGTTGATTTTTTTTTTCTAAAGGATGTGACGCATTTTATCCAGACACACGCCTGGACTGCAGACAGGTCAGTCAAACATGGACAGCAGACGACCAGTGAAGCTCTGCTTTTGTGATCTATGCAGAGTGAGACATTTGACTGAGAACATTTTTCTGTCAAATGATGCAAACAATTTGTTTTTAAGTTTTTTGGTTCCCGCAGGAAGTAGTTGGCAAGTGAAGCAGACGAGTACGTAGTCACGCTGAGGTCTATGCGGAAGACAGCTTTGTTTATATTCACCAGTTTACGGCAAACATTGGATTGTGCTGCATATGCTTTCGATCATTTGTGTTATTTTTTTGGGGGGAACTTTTTTCTGTTCATTATTATAAGTCAGAGTTATTGCAAAGATCAAGATACGTCGCACTGTAGGAATGGAAATCAGACCTAAGTCGAGGACCTTCTGTATGAGTTTCTTTTACCCTGATCTTCACTCCTAAATTGTATTTCCAGAATGATTTGAATTATTTGTTTATAAATCTCAGATGAGTTTGTGTCCAGATAATTCTGCAGCCTCGATTAATTTTTTTCTTTTTTCTTTTGCACAATACTGCCTCAGGAATCACTTTTAAAGTATCCATTCAAGGTTGTTGCTAAGGCAACGTTGCCAAAGGTCTAAACGATCTGAACCTCTCTTTACTACAGTAGTACCTGCAGGTGTAGACAGATGTGTATGTGTGTGCATTGTTTTTGCGATCCTGCAGTGAAAAAACACATTGTAACACATTAAAGTATTGAGAGAAAACACAGGCTTCCTTGACTTTGACCCTTAAGTTAAGAAAAAAAAACAGTCCAGGACACAGACCCTGAAACTGTCTGGGGAATCCAGGTGTAGTTTCTTCTTGATGTCCTCTGATGCCCCGGCACACAGCCTGTAGAAGATGTGGTAGTTCCTCTCCTCGTTACTTTGCATGCAAATCCTTGACTTTTCCAGTAGGTAATGGGACACAAATCCACCCACGACTGCATTCTGAAAAAAAAAAAAAAAAAACACACACATTAAAATAGACATGAGAGCAGATCTTTTAGCTGGTTTACGTGGTGGAACAGTCAACATAGATGATCACATAGATGATCACTCATTTACCTTCTCATTGAAGTGGATTTCTACAAACTTCCCAAAGCGACTGCTGTTATTATTGCGCACCGTTTTTGCATTTCCAAAGGCCTCGAGGAGAGGATTTGCTTGAGTTTAATGAGATAATAAAATAAACATATGGATCACAATAATACACGACAAAATAAACACAGGGATGTTTTCATTTAATTTAGTTTTACCTTCTACAATTCTCTCATCAATGTCCTGACCGGTGCCATATGTTGTCGTCAGATATCTGTAAAATTCAAAGTTTTTTACCACAGAAACTCCCGCTTACACAGTATCTAGGCAGTAAAATACTACATTAGCAGTAATACACTGCATTAGCTGCACTCTCATTCCCACTGGAATTTGCATTTTTATTTTCATGAACATTTGCATTTCCCTGTGCATTCACGTCAATGGCCATTGTTCTGTTGACGTTAACTAAAAAGGCACTGTCAGTAAACTGTGTAGTATCCTGGTTATTCAAATTGAGATTCATACAACAATATTATTTCTGGGATAGAATACACGGTTCATACCTGAGAACAAACTTGGTGTTTTCAGTCTTTCCAGCTCCAGATTCACCCGAGACTATAATGGACTGACTCATCTTCAGGACCTTCATGTCTCTGTAGGCTTTGTCAGCTGTGAGGTGATGACAAATATCCCATGTTTACTGTACACAAAATTATGCGTAATATGCCTTTGCAGCAGTTAGCAAGTGTCAGCTCTCACCAATGGCATAGACGTGTGGCGGCAGCGTTCCCAGTGACTTCCCCTTGTACGACTTGATGGACTCAGGGCCGTACAGTTTGGGAATGTCATAGTAGGGATTCACGGCTATCAAGATATTAGCCACGAACGTCTGAAAAGAAAAGACATATATTGTTGATTAATGCTGTTGCCGTGGTAACAGACAGGCAGACTTCTTCACTGGTCTGTCCGCGCCTTTCTCCCTCTATTTACCAGCTGTTCTTCATTTCCTTAGTGACAGCCAAGGATCAGGGTTGGGTTTTCAGAGTCTGACTTTTTGACCCTGTTTTACCTTTCCATCCTGCTTCACCACCTGGTACCTCCACCCAAGGGAAACTAGGATCGGCTTCATCTCTGTCTCTGTTGTTATTGTATCTGCCTTCGTAGTAATGGTTTGAAGCATGTGTAGCGAGAGCGAGTGAAAGGGAGGTGCAGGAGGAGTGATGCAGGAAAAAAAGAATGAAAGAAGTGCACGTACGTATATGTGGTCTTTACTGTACCGCACTCGGACGTTGTTGAGTAGTGTGGCTTCGTTCAAGTACATTAGAGAGCCTGAAAAAAAAAGCAAAAAAAAAAAAAAGCTTAAGTTTAAGGTTTAATTAATGTATGTTAGAAAAACTGGTTAGCCTTACTGATGTTAGAGGAGCACTTAATAACCTGGTTTTTACAATAGACTCCTTTTTTATTGGTGTGCCACAAGGTCCTATTCAAGTACCTCTTTTGTTTTCACTTAACTTGCTACTTCAATTACTATTTCTAATATTTCTTTATCAAAATGGTGCAGTACTGTTATAACTGCATCAAAGACATACAGCAGTAATTATCAGAAAGTTTGTCTTCATTTGGAAAGTCATAAAACATAGTATTTCCTTTGTAACTTGGACTACATCCTCTATCGGTTGATGCTCAGGCTTTTTATTAATATCAACCCTAATCTGATTTAGCTTCTCAACATCCATGGCAATACGGCAGTGACCATGCTTTTATTTTGACTCTATGTTCTCATTAGACTTTAATACCTTTTTATTATTTTTATTCTGTAATATTATTATATATTTGAAACACTTATTTCATAGGGTAAACAGATATTCCCTCTCCAAAATGCTCCAAAATAAAGGCTTCTTACAGTTGTCTTCTACATGTTTGTTGACATCGTCTTCTGCTGGGAACACTTGGTTCATCGGCGCCAGAAACGTCTGCAACACAAACAGATCACATGATCAGTTGCGGTCCTCTGTAGAGCCCCGGCCCGCATTAAATACAATCATATTTTTGGTTTGTGTCAGCGTTTGAAAAACCATATGGAAACATAATAACATTTTATGAGCGTCTTGTTAAACATTGTCAAAGGAGCTAAGCAAGCGTGTGCAGACATGAATCATTCATCATGCTTCAAGATCACAGCAACGATGTCTGCTGCAACATTTTCCCCAGTCTGAATTAGTTACCGATATTCTCACTCTATTGTCTGAGTTAATGGAAATAAATTCAATGGAACAAGCCGGCTGTGAGAGAAACAAGGAGAGACATGGCAGAGTGATGAATAATTTGGTGCTAAAGCAACAGGATCTGAACACCTGAGCGAGTACCCGTGTGTGTGTGTGTGTGTGTGTGTAAAAAGTTGCTGCTCTTAACTCCTTGAAAGTCATATCAAGGTAAAATAATAAACACCAGGGACCAGAACAAGCACAATTCCACAGGATATATTTATGGATAATAAGAACTGTATAATTCACAGTGCCTCTGTCTGTGTCTCTGTGTGTGTGTGTCTCGATGCGTGGTTTATTACCACACAGCATAAACACAGTCCGCTCTGTGTGTCGGCTACAATACTGTGGTTCAGTCTAGATTCTGCTTGTCCTCAATAACGACCATGTGAGAAATATTTCAGCAATAACATTGACAAACAAGAAGAAGAACCCCGCGGACACGGGGGCCATATTCAGACAAGAGGCACTAATGAGTTCAACCCTGCAGAAGACCCTGCTCAATGGCTCTTTCATTCCCTTCTCTGAATGGAGCCGAGCTGCCGCCTCGCCAAAGGTTTTCCCATTGATGTTAAGATCAAAACCAATCAAATCATCCCCCCAGCTGAGAATCCGGCAGACCTTTAAATCATCTTGTGTCTGTGTCTCACTTTTCAGGAGTTATCGACCAATCAACGAGGATAATTTGCTGACTGAAGCTCAAATATTTGGAGAATAAAGTGTTAATTATTGTAAGTTCATATAAAAAAACCAACAGAAATGATTTTTTTTTTTAGACTTGACATGAAAGTCAAAGTCAGAAAAAACAGACTAAACTCGTAACTCACATTAAACTGTATCCTCTATGTTTGAAGTGAAAAAATTCAAAGTCAGAAAAAACAGACTAAACTCATAACTCACATTAAACTGTATTCTGCTATGTTTGAAGAAAACAACAACAAAATAGCAGAGAAAAATAAACTATCAAAGTACTTGGAAGACAAACCCCTGAATATACCAACCAGTTTCATTAGTCGTCAGTAGCGATGCCCAATAATATTACACTACACTTATACTACACTCCATCATTTGATTGACTTTTGGGACTGTTCCGTTCCCTTGTCTGTGGAGGTTCTCAGTCATCCAGGTCATGTTATCCAAAAATACCTACATCGAGGGCAACTGGACGGTGTAGGTTTCTTGAAGATGTTTCACCTCTCATCCAGAACTGAAGAAGCCTCTTGGATGAACCTCGATGTAACTATTTTGATTCTGTCCAGTTGTCCTCGATGTAACTATTTTGATTCCGTTCCCTTCTTTTTCTAAACTTAGAAACCGACTCAGTAGAAATGGCTTTTTCTTCTCTGACCGAGGTAACTGACTAAAACAGGCATTATTTATATCATGTCCTCAGAAGTCTTCACTTGGACTTGAGGGGACCTGAGGAGACCCTCAGATGCTTGCACCGAGGTCCCTGAGTCTGTAACTTTGGAGGCTTTTATTCCAGACTGAACCAAGTCCTTCACTGGTGTCTTAAGTTATTCTGGTGTCTTGACACCAGTTTTCTTCTCGTTCACTTTCTTATGCATGAGTCATCTGGACTCCACGATAAGCCTCCTCACTTCAGGTTACTAACTCTTCTGTTTTTGCCGTGACAACGTCATATTGTTTCTGTAATATTTTAAGTTTCCTGTGTAAATGCATTAAAAGAATCAATGTTTCTTGGGGGAGGTGAACGACTTAGATGGTTATTGCAACAGTATTGGTGGTTGGTAAACATCAGACGTCTGCTCACTGAGGACGGCCACGTGACAGCTCAGGTGTAACAGGTGGCCTTTACCACCTAATGAGCTGCTCTCCCTCCAGGCAACACTATCACACACCTGCTGCTGCGCTCTTTATTTATTCATGCCACAGTACATGCGGTCTCTCGTGTTTCTCACATTTAAAACACCAGGGTGCCGACGCCTTACCAACTCCCTCAAGACAGAAAAATAAAAGGACAAAATGCATAACATTATTTTTTCCTCTGACACAGTTTTGTTATTACATGAGTGGCAGGTGGAAATAAAAATAAGGTACGTTTTTATGTCATGATCCTCAGGGATGAGGTTTAAATAGACACAGTTTTTGGCAGCTATTAGAAACCAAACCAAACCATCGCTACGCCTACGTCAGAGAAAATCACTTTCTGAAAATTGTGATCATGTGTGTGTGTGTGTGTGTGTGTGTGTGATTACCCACTTTGCCCCTCTGGGTCAGTGGCTCAATAGTGAGCGCGTCAGCTCCGATGTCCACAATCATGCCCAGCTGAAACCCGTCGGTGGGGTGGGGCGCCCACACAGGCTTCCCATCCTCCATGGTTTACCTTCAGTCAGGTGAAACTAGATGATGGAGAGAAACACACATGGGACTTAGAAGAACTCAAAAGACTCAAGAACAAAACTTACAGACGTTGTTTTCATAATTAATCATAATAACAAGTTTAATATTAATTGTATATTTCACAAGTACGTGGTTCCCAAAGTGGGGGGCAGGTCTCGCTTGGGTGGTGCGTGGTGAGTTATTGCAGCAGGTCAATTTAATTTAATTTAATTTTGTACTATTTTACCACAGTGGGAGTTTTGAAGCATTGGCATTAACTTACTGCTGTCTATTTTGCTTCCATTCAACCTGTTGGTCCTCGTTTTATTATTGAAAAAGATGAGATTTTTTTCCAAATGCAACTGCACTAGAATTGTTTTGGGGGAATATCTAAGAGCCATTGACATGAAAACAGACCCCGAGGGAAGTGCAGTCAAATAACAAACATCCCATTCAGACTATCTCAGGTCCATCAGTATGAGATTGCGCTGCGTTGTTATTGGCCTCAATAACAAAAAGGCATATACGTCTATTGAACTGCTGTCATGTGGTATGAGACGATGCTCTGTTGCACCATTTCCATCTCCCGGGTATTGTTGTGTATCTAATTAGAGTAATAGTAAATGTTATTGTACAGTAGTGTCTGCATTCAAATTTCCTGGATGGATATTATCTTGAATATGAAATTGATTTTAGAGACAACACTGTTTTCACCTTCATTCATAGCTCAAAACAACATGACCATTCAAGCAGATGCCGGGTTTCTGTATTTGTCTCGTTGAGGGATTCATCCCACATTCACAGAGGTTGCAAAGGAAAAGTGCTGACACTAGGCCTGAGTATCCAATTAGCTTGACAGATTAAGGTCAGATGTCAGAGATCCTGGTGCTCGGAACTGCTGAGTCACCCAGCACAGAGTTGAAAGTAACTTTCCGCATTGGCAATTTCACTGCAGTTCCAGACAGATGATATGTTTTTATTTTATGTGTTGTTCAAAACTATCCCAAAGAAGAAAAAACAAGACAATATTATAACTCTCACATAACAAGGGGAACCAGAAATGTATATATATACTGTGTATATATATATTGCAGTGTGTCTCTTTTGTATTTCCAACAAAGAGATATATCTTTGAATACTGTTATGAATCAGTAACACTGGACATTTGACAAACCAGTCAACAAACCTGGATGGCATTATTTTATGGATGCCAATAAAGAAGCTTGACGGACATTTGTAAAAAAAAAAGAAAAAAAAAGAAGAAAATGTTTCTTTAACCTTCAAATATGAAGGAGATGAACTGTCCTTCATGTGGTGGATTACATCAAGGTTTTCCCACAATTCCTTCTACTGTCGTTGTTAGAATAACTACAAAGACATTTTATAATTATCAAAGTAAAATGTAAAGACTGTGAGTATGGAGGACGTCTGACAGATGAGACTCTTCAAGTCTGTAGGAACATAAAACACAGCTCACCAAAGTACGAGCTAAAGAGGTAGTTAAAAAAGAGATCTGCTGCCTCGCTCAGGAAGATGACCTTCAGACTGAAGTGCAGCAAATGAAGGCATCACTCATGGCTTTCCACAAAACCAGGACCAAAACTCTAAACAGACAAGTAACTCCGTCGCTGCAGCTTTAAATCCTCTTAACATCTGACCCCAATCCAGACAGTGAGGTGAAACACATTACCTGAGATCCAAAGCTTATAAATACAAATTAAACATCCGTTAGCAGGACGATGCAAGAGGAGCGAGGTGTCACACGTGCCATTAAACACTGAGGACATTATATTGCAGCATTAAAGAGAGAGAGAGAGAGAGAGAGAGAG